CAGACCACAGGCAAGTATGAGACACCTTTGAAACAGGGCAAGGTAGACTTGCATGTACTATCTCCTAAAGCACTGGGAATACCCCAAGCACATGTTTGAACCAGCAAATAAACAAACCCATTCCTTTCAACCTTTAGGTTTTACTAGTGTTACAGCTTTTCATTCATATATAATTATTTATAAAAATAATAATTATTTTTACAGAGAGCCAGCAGTGAGAAACATCTTTATTCCAAAAATTAAATATTCAATTTCAGAACACAAGAATCTTGCTTTTATTTTACATGGAGGCAAGTATTTGTAATTGCAATAAGTATCTGACTGTCAGTGGAAGTTACTGAACTTCATTGTCCCTTGTCAGGAGGAAGCTATACTTACATAGGAATTTCTTGTCCATCTACCACTGAAGACTTCTAAAAAGTTACTAAAATAATTCCACACGGACATGGTCATCTTTCCATATTAGCACATTCATACCAGAACACTTGGTCAATGAATTCCTTTACCTTTATATAAAGGATCCAATCCAACACACAGCATTTGAGTAGTTATCCACCCCATTTAATGCACCAGTTACACCATAATCAACCTTTGTAGCTAGGAGGGGGGGGGCTACTGTATGGTAATATAATGTATCCCTGTACCAAATGTTACATCAACCTATATACAATGTATATGCAACTAAGCAACAGCATGCATTATATTTACAGACTATGTAACAAAGCCGTGCACAACTTCAAACTGACTACACAAATTAAAAAATTCATTCAAATGTTACAAATTTATTTGAATTATGAAAATTGAACGCCATTGAAAGGGAATCTAAAAAAATTCCCCCACATCTGCTCTTTTATCACGACATTTACTTCTAGCCTTTGTCCGAGCCTTGAATGCTGCAGAGTTGTACAAGTGCTACAAAATAAAAAAAGAAAAAATAATTACATATTGTCAAAAGGCTTATGCCCTTGAGAGATTTTTCATGTTACAAAACAAATGAAAATATCATTTTATTAATCTTTGAAGTAAACTGGCAGGCCTTTTGAAATTTATAGTATGCTATCTTTGCAACCAAAGGCTAATTTTAGTATGTATATATACACAGACATATATATTTAAAAGAAACTTGGCCTGTATAATAAATGCTGAGCCATGAGAAGTTCTGGAAGCCAGTCAGTCTTAAATATCAAGGCTATGGCTACACTTACCCCCAGATTAAACTTGATAACACCATTCCCCAAATTATATGCAGGATTAATGCATTCACAATCAACAAAACAAGGCCAACCTCCTAGTGTCCATTTCATACTGCAGAGTTTGGGATACAGTCTTTATAAAGATTCCGTTTCCACAGTTTCCTGTGGGACCCTCCCCAAAAACATGTATCTCTCAGAAGAGAACAAGTTTCACATGCGTGGAGAATGAATCTAGCAACCCAACAGCAACCACAACCTTCAGACCCCTTGGAAAAAGCACAGAAACAGACACACACCCAGCAGAAAATCTAAGAGCTCACAGATGCATACAAGTACGGCTGGGTTTCATTCAGGACAATATGAGGCACTCTTAGAACTACAGTGACAAATGTTAACAATGACAGCTTCTGAAGTGCAGAAGTAATTAGAGTAAGAAGTAAAGAAAATTCATAAAGGTGGAATAACATACCCTTTCAAAACGGGATATCTTCATTGTTTTAAGGGTGGCAGCATCCAGCATTACTGGTGGACCAAGCTCAAACACATTCCGAAGAAAGTCATTTGACTGAAACAAGAAACACATCAAATTATCAGCTTCCCCTCTATATCAAGTCTCTAGAGTTGACTACTGTAAAATATCAAGTATTCCAGTAAGAAATACTAAGATGTGTGTCAAATTGCTGCTATCCTTTTGTAACTAAGTCAAGAATACTTCCTCCTCTTCACCAGAATAAGGCTAAAAACTGCCACCTTGAGAAGACAGACAGCTCCTCCTGCCTTCCTTGATATTTTTGTCCCAGCAAATGAGACACTTCTGTTCTACACAATATCAGGCAGCTGAACAGACCTGTATGGTTTCACAACACACCAGTTTTAAAATATCTGGCTGTGAAAGTAGTACTTGAAAAAACTGAAAAAGCTGCTACGTGCCTCATCTCCCTCAGTCACACAGAAATTCAATTAACACAGGACTGAAGAATTTAACCCCATGATTATCACAGCAATTTGGGAGCATATATTCCTAAGCTATAGCCCCTGCTTCTGTA